TTTTCAGAAAGCCTTTCACATTAAACTCTCATTTCTCCTCCAAAGCCATTCCGCAGTATTTCTCTGGAATGAATTAAGCAGCCCGACTGAACAATGCAATCCTAATTAGTTTGCAAACTACACAGCTCACCTCTGAGGGCGAGCAAGCCCGTGTAAATTAAAGCGAATTGGATCAGACTGTCCTAGGAATATTCTCCAGATCAGCGCCGCTCGAGCGTGTGATCTCAGAAGTTGCTTTCACCCTCCAGTAATAACTTACAAGTAAATTTCACCGGCAATAGCGGGGAATTGAGAGACGTAGAAATGTTCTGCTGTTTAATGCTCCACGATGGGTTATTTTACGTAATACAGCAAAGCCCGTCGGTCACTTACCAGCGGGGAACGTCCCGGCGCCCTCAGCACTGGCGGCTCACACGCCCCAGGAGCGAAGGACGCGGCTCCCGCCGGCTCACCCAGCCCGGCCACGCTGCCTTTCCAGGCCCAAATGCTAAAGAGACCTTTGCAAAGTTTTCACGGTGACGTCCCAAGGTTTATGCAGTAATTGAATAATCTAAAATTTCCATTCCTGTCCTCGTGGACTAATCTGTAATAGTGTTAAGGGACTGTTATGATATTAATTAAATACAAGTCCTGCATACAAAATTGATACTCTGCATCTCCATCTCCACGAGGGAGTTTCTCTCTTAATAAGACTTAAATCAAATTTTACTTTTTTTTTTTTTTTAAGAATTTCATAAAGATTATCATATTGTACTGAAATAACATACATCTCTATATGAGAGAACAAGGTATTTCAAATATATGAGCTCTGGCGCACTCATCTCATCCATCTCTCTGATCCGACAGCAGTGGTGTCAGACCGAGCCCAGGCTGACGAAGGACCCCCCGTGACGGGCGGGGGGCTCAGCCGCTCCCCCGGAGCCTCCTCCCCGCTGACGGACGCGCTGCTGCCACAGCCGGGGGGTTGTAGAGCATCAGGCCGCTGCCCGTCCCTCGGCAGCTCAGGCCACAGGCAGCGTGGCGCAGGCTCGGGCACGGCTCTGCCCCAGCTCCAGAACTCTCCTCGCTAACTTCTCCCCAGGCACTCGTGTGTGGAGGGACCAAAATATCCCCAATACGGGATAAAGAGCGACAGAATCGGCGTCGACCTTCCAGAAGGCAGAGGATAAGAGGGAAATTTACTATAAAAATATGACCTCGTTTAATTTTAGCAGCAGTTTACTAAGAATTCAGCTGAATGCGCCATTTAGAGGCACCTGGAAAGGTTCATGCGTGAGAAGAGGCAACGGCGAAGTCGGAGCAGCACCAGTCTGGAGCCACGTTAAAGCTGTTTCAACACTCCCCTTACTATTATTTAGTAGTTAAAATTTTTAATTATGTGAATTGATTAGGAACACATCACCAGGGATCCTAATTAATTAGAATTTTAAAAAGGATCATGGACTGGAGATTTTTAATGGATTCCACAAAGAACTGCACGAAGAGGTATGTTAAGGGGAAGGCCAAGTTAACTTCTGCTTTCTGGTTTATCCAGCGATTTCTAACAGGATCCTGCATCAGATTAACCAAGTAATATCCAAAACCCTCCCGCAGAGTGACGGTAACCAAGACAACAGCTTGAGGATTTCTGGCAGTTATCATTTAACATCCACTTGGTTAATTAGTTTATTTCTCTTACTCCTTATTTATTTAAATTAGTGTATTCCTATTTAAACTAGTTCATTCATTATTTATGTCCTAAATTTGCTTTAGTTGCCCTTTCCACACTCACCAAATCCTTCTCTAGGGTACTGATGGACGCCGACATCCCCAAGTATCTGGTGTCAACTTTTCCTTTCAGAACACATTCTCCTCCCTACCCAAAACTTGGAAAGATGCAGGAGCCGTCCGTGATGCTCAGTAAGTAATTAATTATTAAATCTGCTAATACAAATCCCTTTTCAGAACTGGCTGGTCAGTAGTTTCATGGGCCAATCTCCTTCTTGCCTGTTAGCTGCAGCTTCCAAAGCTCTGTCTGGATGCTCTCGACGCTCTTGGCTCTCGGCTTTGCAAGTATTTTTCCATCACTGCGACGATGATACCTATTTATCTCCTGGCTGCAAGAGTTGCTGAGATGATCTGGCAGTGCCACAAGGCAGACAGTTATTTCATGCCCTGTTAAACCCTAATGTGGTTAACTACAGTATCACTCCAACTTTGAAAAGAGCCTTTTTTATTATTTTGAATCTGTTGCCTATGTGTCGAAGAAAAGAACATCGTTTCCTGTTAGGATGGTATCAGAAAGATAAACCCGCCACGCTATCCGTGAACTAGCAGCATGTACCGATCGAGTAATTAATTAAGAAGGTTAAAAATACATAATTCTGCCCAAGCAGCGCTTAGAGGACAAGAAAATGAGTGTTTTGCGCGTTGTTCGTGAGACTGGCAGCAGCCTCGCAGGTGCCGCCGCGGCAGCGGAGGGGGCAGCGCGGGGGCACCGGAGCCTTTCCTCCAGCCTGCGGAAGCCGCAGACACGCTTCTGGGCACCCTCAGCACGAGAGACACCTCTGCAGTGGACCCAGCTCCTCTAGACCCAGATTTACGTGAGTTAAAATTCCAGACCAAATCTCTATTTGCCCGTTCCTGTTGGTTTCTCTTCTTCTGTCTTTGTGTACCTAAATTACGACCACTTGACTCACCAGTCCCTTTGTACCCTCTGATACCCGAGGAAAAAAACCTACCGGTTTCTTTTCAACACTTAGGTGATCAGTCTGGATTTTGATAACCCTTAGTGATACTTAATACGTAGATTTATGCAGAATTTGTGTTCTTCCAGTTTTGAGCCCCAGTAAAAACTACCACTGACTGTTCACAGCGTGGGCCCAGGAGCCACGTTTGGGCTCCATTATTGTTTTATTTGCTGCAGGACCCAGCTGTAAAACTGGCCCCATCCTGCGTCTGGAGCTGCCTCCGCTGGGCTTCGCAGAGACTGAGGGACGACTCGATGAGAGGGTGTAAGTACCTTCTCGGAGAGAAAACATCAGGTACTGAAGGGCTCTTACACTGGAGAAAGATGTAGGAACATACGGCCAAACCCCGGCACATCCAAATCACGAAGCAAGTACTTTGACACTTATTTTCTTAAGTGGCGAATGTGATCAGCCACAGGAAGAAACCCTGAACGCTGCGCGTTCTCCAGCTCCTGATACATCCAATTACAGATGTGTTACTTTCCAGAAGACACACTTCAATAAAATAGAAATTACTGGGCACAGGGCTATTTGAGTCAAACATGATCGCTACACACGTCCACGCAGTCAGGCGCTCCAGGGGCTGATGGCTCCAGCTTTCAAAAAACACGCCAGAAAGTGTTGAATCGTGTGTATGAGGGGTAGCCAGTGGTCACCACCACCCTCCTACGGGTAAGTTCTGCAGCACAGGTTTCGGTATTCTGCATTGTTAAAGTTCACAGAAGTTAATTAAATCCTGCTCTGCAAATCCGAAACAAAAACAATGCACAATTTCTATCATGCTGACACTTTTTTTTTTGGGGGGGGGGGCTTGTCATAATAAAACATTGTTATTGGACGTAAAAATTATGGAACGGAGTTATGCCTCTCTGGTGTAATATAATGCAATCCATTTAATATTATTTTAAAACCCAAAACCTCATTAAAGCAGACAGAACGTAAGAATGACAAATAGCCCAGCAGGAAGCTGGAGCATGAGCCGCATTCCAGGCACCGGGCACCTTGTGTCCCCCGCTCTGAACTCGGCGACGTCAGCCCCCCGCACAGCTCCCGCAGCCACGCCGGGGGCACGGGGTGCTCCTCACCCGGGTGCGAGAGGGTTAATGCCCTGCAAAACACGTGCCAAGATGGGCCTGAAAGCCTGGCCTAGCCTAGAGTCCGGCCTGAAAGCTACGGGACAGGCCTGGAGAGAAGGGGTTAAGCTCTGCCTGTCCCTGAACACCGTGGGTACCCCAAATGCTGGCCTGTGCCCCGACACCCCCCGCGGGGCGCAGCCTCCTGGCCTTGGGGGATCAATACAGCTCATGCAAAAACACCCCCTCACGGCTTCGCTGCTCCTTTGCTGAAGTTAGAGTATTTCTTTGAGACACAGCAAATGCTACAGTTACACATTTTAATACCCTTTTACCATTTTGGCCCCAAGTTCAGTATCAAACGCTGGGAACAGGAACCGAGCTAGGCAAAGCTCTGCAGTTGGACTATCAGAAAATGTAACTCCCATTTAATAAAATATGAAATAAAAAGTTAAATAAATCTACTTCTTATCCACAGCCGCGCAGACCTTTAACATCAGAAGTAATCGGAGCCATCGAACGGCTCTTTCCTCACGCAGACGGAGTTTAAGAAAGATCAGTTGTGTCAAACAACAACAACATGTTTGAGAACAAACAGGCTTATTCCAGAAATACTGTGTCAGGTGAAATCACCCCTCTGAATGCCATCAGTAGAGCAACAGTCTCCTTCAAAACGTGCCTTGAAGCAGAGGTTCTGGTCTGAATTCAACAGAAATTCTACTTCTGCATGCTGCAAGACCAACGCTTAATGAGCATACAGACATACAGAAAAGGATGGAATTTGCTACAAAAAACTAGCTGGTATTTTGTGAGAATTAAATCACATATGTACAAAGCTCATACAGTAAAAAAGAAAAAAAATGCTCAGCAACCCCCTCGGAGAGGTCTGGTCGGCCTTGTTTCACAAACACCACGTCCTGTACCCGAAGGTGCGCGGTGTGAAGACACTGCAGAGTTTTTCTTCAACACTGCAGCTGTACGACATCGTGCCAACCAGAGAGCAGTGACACAACCACAGGGTGAAGCTATAGTCAAATTTTGCTCAAAACTGTAAGAACGAACACGCACACATTCTTGTGGGCCAGGGGGAAAGGCTGGAGCTCAGCAAACACAATTTTCCTGAACGTGTGGACGCGTTCCGGGGAGCTGCTGCCTCCCAGCCCACCCGCCACCGCACGCGCCGCCTCCGTTCCCCTACCTCCACTCCTTGGACTTTCAGTTTCATGTGATCCTCTCGGGTGGTTTTCCCATCTTTCCTTTTTTTCCAGCAATATCCATCTTTCCTGTATTTCACCTTCTTCCTATTGTACAGGATCATAGAACCATTCTGCGGTCTGAAAACAAGAAACAGTTTTGGATTACACGAAGAAGAAAACCCACCCTAAGAGAGTTTACGAAGCAACGTGCTACAGACCAGCAAGAGCCTCTACAGAAAAGCAGTATTCTGTGTTTGGCATAATATAAATTTTCATCTTTTGTTGCTGTTAACTGGATTAACCAATGCTTTACAATCTGCAAATTTTTACTTGAGAATTTCATACCTAACGAAGTAAGTGTGCCAGTGAGAGGGTTAAAAAAAGAAAAAAAAAATAGAAATCTTATCATAAATAGGGAGATTTTTTCATGGAATATATTATGATTGGGCTCGGCTACATGCTGGAAATTAGAAAGAAATAAAGGTTAAGGGAAAAAAAAGGATTGTTATTATTTTATTGTAGACAATCTCTCTCTCTTTAACACATCAGCAGGATTAGATAACAGCCACCTCTAATGCAGCACCAGAATATGGATGTTGGCTTAAAAAGGCAATAAACAAGCAAAAAAGAACGGAAGGAAAAAGCATTAGCTTATACATTGGTTTCGCCATTCCTGCTTAGATCAGTGTTAGACATGGAGTAACTTTCCCTCTTTTGAGCACCTCCTTGACTTCAAAGATGCATGAAAACATTTTCCGCTCAGAAACCACGTCGATGCTTCAGAATATCAATAAAGGCACATCGACGCTTGCCCAGCAGACAGGAGTCAACATCTTTTTGGTGTAAGACAATATTTCACAGAAATGTTTTGCCATCTGCTAAGCCAATACACAAAAGGGGCATTTCTGCTGTAATGCTAGAAAGGAAAAAAATAAACCAAGCCCCAACACATCACTGCAGAGAGAGCATGCATCCCACGCAGGCAGCAGTGCTGTGGATGCTGCAGACATTGACACTGGTGCGTTAGTCACAGTCATTTGGCTTTAGGACACCACCAACAGAAAGAAAAACAAGGACATTAGCAGCAGGAGCGATAAACAGCTTCCACGGGAAGGCTCAGGCTGGAGCCTTTTGACAAAGTGAAGCACCTGAACTTGTATAATCAAACCCAATTAACAGCGGGGAGCCTTTGAGGGGAGAGGGTGAGAGAGGGTCCCCCCTCCCCATCCAGGCTGCACTTGGCGTCCCCCCTCGCACCCCTCGAGGTTTTGGGCGGTAGCTGCCAGGTGTGTTCAGATGAGCAGAGCAACACCTAGAACTGCTGAAAAACCACCGAGTGTTTCTGTGCCCAGCCGACACAAGGAAGTTCTCAGTAAACAAGCCAAATTAAGCGGTTTGTGTTCATGCAACATTGGCTTGTGACTTCAGAGCTGTGCCAAAAGTGCACAAATCAGTGCCTGGCCCAGATGGAAAAGCATCCTTCATCCCTCCCGCTTCTGTGTCTCAAACAGCACGACACCGTGAAAAAAGCACAAGAGCAAGCTTCTGCAGGTACCCTCTCCTCGCTTTTCTCTAACAAAATACTCCATTTGAAGACAGTCGCCTTCACCCATGTTGATCACATCACAACAGGGCAGTAACGCTGGTGTAAAAGCTGCTAATTACGGAGTAGCTCATCCCAGTGCTCCACCAAGTGCACAAAGGCACCTGACTACTGAGGAAAACAAGCTCGTAGTGGTTTTCTACCACCCCTGGCCAGCTGAAATTCCCAACACCAACCAGTACAAGGCCCTTCCTCCCTCAAAACAAACACCATCAGCAATCGCGGCGTCTGCCACCAAACCTCCGTCCTTGTCCCTCGGCTCCGCGCGCACACGCGCCCGCGGGGCCGTGCCGAAGGGCGTCCTGCCCGAGCCACGCTCCGCGCTTGCTCCAGAACACACACGTGTGCCACAACCTCAGCGAGTGTGGGCAGGAACCCGCACAAGTCTCTCTTAGGATGAAAACAGCCTTGCTACTTCCACGTAGATTTGCAAGAGCGAAAAGATCTTTCACCTAGGTGAGCATCTGCGTATTTCTTTACTAAACAGAAGTGACAGACAGATTTCATTTTTTTTCCCTGCATACACAGATATTTGTTCCCTGTGACCAGAAGCCTGAGCTCCGTTCCCCAGACTGCAGCTCCTCCTGCCACCCATCTCCCGGCAGCCCAGACCGAGGGCTCGGCGAGGCTCCTCCTCTCTGCTCCCAGGCATCCCCCTGAAAACACACACTCGGGTGTCAGCGCAACCACGGCGTCTGCCTGACAGCACCGAGGATCGTGCGGGATTAATTCAGGGGAGATATTACATGCCTTGTTCCGGTGTTTATTCTATAAAGCTCCAGTCACCGCAGGTGTCAGCTCACACCACCAAAGGTCTCCCCTTGTCGCCATCACGGAGCCGTGCCCGATGGGTTACGACGAGTTACCTGCGCATTCAGGGCAAGCAATGAAAAGGCGGCGCAGGAACGGATCCCCCGCCTGGTGCCTTGGCGCTCGCACGCGCGGCTGTCAGAAAACACACGCTCGAAGGGCCTGAAAGTTTTTTGATGTGAGCAAAACACTGTTTTTCTCGCATTTGGCGGCACAAGAGCGCGCGGGTGAAGGGACCGAGAGTCGAGCTCTGCAACTTGGCTGCTGCTCTGCAGGGCTGGAATCGGGTTTTTGTTGGTTTATTTCTGCGGTGAAAAAAGAACACGGGAGGAGGTCACTGGAAAACACTTAACGAGATTTACACAAAATAAAGCACAATGAAACAAAATCTCTTAAGGATCTCTGGAGCAGCTGTCGATTTTGATAAGAGCGTATCGAGCTGCTTTAAGGCTCATCGAAATTGACTGTTTTTTAAAGATATCTTCATAAAATGAGAAGCAATTTTAACCTGATAGACATTGCTATTGTATTTCACCCGCAGTAAGAAGGAACAGAGAGGGAGGATCTCCCGTGCTTATCTCCCCGGCGCACAAACACGGCCAAGCGCAGCGAATTGATGGTTGCGGGAAGACTCGGCAGATGAGCCCGAGAGGGATTCCCAGGGCGCGTGACGGGTGCGACTCCAACCCAGGTCTCCTCTGAAGGTTTCACTGCTCAAGCTCGATTTGGGGATTTTGTTTGTCCCCAGAGGGGGGGTGAAGCCCCAAGGCCCACGCGTGGGCCGCCCCGGGGCTGCGGCTCCCTGCGCCCATTCCGGGAGCCGGCGGTCGAGGCGGGAAGCAATCGCCCTCCTCTGCGTTAAACCCCACCTGGAACCACGGCAATAGCAACAAGTGCTGAAACATTAACAGCAATTTACTTGATTTGATTAGCTACTACTTCGCAGCTACACAGTGCTCTTTGCATTAACACGGGACTAAATGGAAAATAATAAAATAGTATTTTAATATTACGGCACAGCTGAGAGCAAGAGAGAGTGATCTAAGCCCACCAAGAAGCCTGTCAGTGCTCACAGGCGAGGTGCTGGGGCTGCTGGGGGGGTCAGTCTCCCTCAGCCCTCCCCGGCGGGGATGGCCATGGCCCAGTTCTGCCTCGTGCATGACAAACCCAGACCCACGGCCATGAAACGGCAGCGCCGTCTCGCAGCCGGTCGCCTCACCTGTACCGGCTCAACGTCGGGCACCAGGCTGCGGCGCTGGCTCGCGCCAGCCGACCCCCCAGGATAACGTGGAAAGGTCAGAGGCATTTCCCCCTCCACTCAGAATAAATTTGTTTGCAATGAGACCAGAAAGGGTTTGTTGCTCTTACAAAAAAAGGCAGCAAACAAAAGGAAAGGGACTGGGAACAGGTGAGCAGAGCAATCCTAAAACGGGTCCCCCCGCAGCGGAGGCGGCGAGCGCTTTGCCGCACACACGCTGAGTCGCAGCTTGGGCCCGGAACACCGAGGAGCAAACCTCTGCAACGGCCAGCGCGGCTGCGGCTCTGCCAGCGGAGAGGCGCAGCCTGGCCTCGGACTCTCTGACCTGCCCCCAAAACCCCCGCCAGCCCGGAGCCGCGCAGGAGCCAAGGCCGAGCCCCGGGCGAGGGCAGCCGGGCTCCTGGCAGAGACGGTGCAATTATTTCTGGTCCCACTGTGTGGAGCTTGCAGGATGATCTACTTGCTTACAGACCCAAATAGCACAGAGCAAAGTCACAGCTCTGAATTTCCTCTCTTTTATGAGCCTGTGGCATTTAAAAGCTGCCTGATCTCTATTTAGGTTTCTTGCTTGTGGCCTGGGGGAAGGAGGGGAAAGGACAGGAAGAGTAATTGCCGAGCAGAAAGCCTTTTGTCTTAAGTATTGATGAGATTTGAGATGCTTCCCTCCCTCTCCCCATTATTTACCACCACAGCTCTCACATAAATTGCCACAAAAGCGTAAGAGCTACTTTTGCCCAAATTGTTCCTGCTACAGCCAGGAGATGTTAACTTCCATTTCTGGACTCACTTTCGAAGCGAACAATCATACCCTGCGGGTGACGGGTCTCGGGACCTGCTGGTTGCTTGGGGCTACGCGGGGCTCCTGAGGATGCTCCCCTCCAGCTCAGGACTGGGCCAGGCCACCGGGTAAACTGGGGCTTCTCTCAGCCACATGGGGAGAGGTGGCAACGGAGAGCGTGCACCAGCAGGAAACACCGGGAGTTCCAGGAGGATTTTCCTGAAACGTCATTTTGGATTTGGCACTCGATTCATCTGTGGGTACCTACCTCTAGCTCCAAGTCCCATTCTGAGCAGGTTTTGTTTCTTTTATATAAAGTTTCTTACTTGAATAATAAGAATCTAAACTAACTCATCTTATGAACATGAACCAGATGCATGAAGGGAGTAAGCAGTAAACAGAAAACAGTTAAGACTGGGGTACTTTGGTCAACTGATGCTGCCTCTCCATTGTGCTCATAAAGTCTTTGGCCTAAATGACCGAGATGTTCCCCTAATGACGTTGCCGCAATATTAATAAGGCTGCTCAATGCAACCAGCTCACTCTAAACTGTCGCATCAAGATTTGGTAAATGTCAGATGTATCATTTAATGAAAACTACGTTTTACTGCCTAGGGAGCTCGGGTTGCCGAAAGGAAATTGTAAATACTGCAAAGCCAAAAGCAACTCTTTTTTTCAGGACAAAAGAA